TTGTGGGCAGAATCATTTGATGGTGATAACGCTCGACACACACACGAACACACACATTTCATATATTCAGCCTGAGCATGAGACGGCAAAGCTAACGTTACACCTATTAACTGCCAAAGTCACCTTCGCCCCGAGGGGTGTGTGCAAACACACTGCAACCAGTACGATGAACGGAGACAGATCACGTCACTGGGTGTGTACTTAATGTTCATCAGCATACACACCTTCAGCCATATGAAGAAAGATAAGGAAAATGCAAGAAGTGCAGTAAAGAACGGCCTCAAAGCATGGCATTGTGGGAAAACTGAGCGCCTGAGAGTGTCAGGTGAACACCTGCTGAGCGCTCCACCAGGATAACTTGGGAGCAATCTGAAACTGTTGCCTCCGTTTTAATTAAGCGGTGGAAGCTTTTTCAGAGGTCAACTAAATGAGCTTTTAACTACACCCACTGCAGGAGTAGATTTCTTTTCCACACTGACACACTTGATGCTGGCTTGTTGATGACGTAGGACGCTTACCAAAAAATGAGGATGCGTTGAGGGGAAGGTTTATAAGTCAGAATAGAGATGAGAAAAAGAAAGCAGGTTTATGCAGCGTTTATGTAGTTTATGTACCCTGCCTCCCTTTGTCTGTTCCTGCTGTTTGTATTGCACTCTGTAATTACAGAAGCTTTGAGGACCTTGTTAAGCCATCAGTCAGCACGTAGGTATGATGGTGATGTGGCTTTCCTTCTAGCTTTTCCTGTATTGACATCTCACCTCAAAGTGCTACAAAATAATGTATTTGGACATCTGTTAACCCACCGTTGTTCTCCATGCTGTCCTTCATGGCACTCATGGATTCTGCTCAGCACTATTGATTTGATCTGATCACTATATGCTGCACTGCGAGCGACACAGAAAACACTTTGAAGTCTCATTTGAGATGCCAGAGTTTCCAGACTGAGTGCATCTTTGCAACTCTGATCAGGACTGCAGTTTAAAGCATGTGCAAAAATGGTTTGGAAGGGATTTCATATGTTTTTGAAATGTAGAGGGAAGGATGGAAGAGTGAAGGTGCTGAGGTAGAACCACCTGGAACCGTTTTTTGCACTAACTTCAGCTAATAACTAATTCAATTTTGTAGGCAGTAAAATACAAAATACTGTCAAGCGAGTTCAGTTTTCATGTGCAGCAGCCTGACTGTGCTTGCAGCTGATGCCTTGGACACAGTTATTCACCACACGGTCCCGCCTGCACACATGCTTCTTTTAATATTCTCATCTTTCAGGCCATTGGTGATGGTGTAATTGTGTGTGGGTTATTTTCTTGACTCATTTTGGGCCTTTTAGTAGCAACTGAACATTGCTTAAATGCCACAGCCTACCTGAGCATTATTACTGACCATGTCAATCCTTCTAGCAGGATAACACATTGAGTCACAAAACTCAAATCATTTCAAACTGATGTCTTGAACAGTGCAATGACTTCACTGAACTCAAATGGCCTCCACAGTTACCAGAGCTCAGTCTATCAGAGCACCCGTGTGATTCCAGGGAGTGTATTTCTAATTACGTAATTTCCCCCCACTGCTCCCCTACATCAGAACTTAGGGTTCAACCACAAGCAGAATTTCATGTCATATGCCCATCCTGACCTGACATAAAGAGGATGACATACCTCTGGATGGAGAACAAAGCAAAACAAAAAACAATAGATGAAGATGGGAGGAGTAAGAATGAAGGAAAAATTAGAGAGGACAAAGCCTGAATAGATAAACAAAGAAGAAGGGAGAGAAGTAATGATCACCTACAGACAATTTAAAATCTCATATTAACCTAACCTCAAGTACGTCTTTGGACTGGAGGGAAGCTGGAGCGCCCAGAGAGAACCCACACAGAAAGGCCCCGGCCTAGACTTTGAACCCAGGACTTTCTTGCTGTGTGGGAACAGTGCTAACCACGGCCCCACTGCACTACCTGGAAGTAATAAGGTTGATTAGAAATGTAAAAAAAGAAAAGGGAACCAAAGGAGAAAGTCAACAAAGACAGAGGGCAGTAGGTTTTAAACAAAACTATTATAAATCAGGTTAGAGGGTCAGATGACAAAAAACTGAGGGAGCAAATTGGTGTTTGATGGATGGAAAGGAAGTTTAAAATGCTTTGGTCCAAATCAACAGGAAACATCCCCCCAAAAAATTTTCTTGCGTGTTTAAACTTTGGAAACTGAAAGAGATGCAGAAATTGTATTGATTGTGGAAGCAGCTGGGAGACAGGCTGAAAACAAGAGATTGTCATGGAAAGAGGAGTGTTGCTTATTGCAACTTTTTAAATCTGCCTCCTCTTCGCTCAATTTCTCGAGACAGCCAAGGTAATTTAAATCGATTCTAAGTCCTTCCATTACAGACACACTGACAACAGTTTGGAGAGAGGGGAAATGGATTTTTCTGCTCATCTGTGAGCCAAGGCCAAATCTGAGGACTTCTACAGCGGCGCTGTAACAAAGCACGCTGCTACCAGCCAAGGCTCCTCCTTCACTTGACGTTTTTACCTCGCTGTATTGCTTTTGCTCCATAAAATCTGTCGACAGCTATTTTTTTATGATTTCAGGGTTTTGGTAAGACAATAATGGCCGTGGAGAGGGCGAGGCCCGACCTTCCATCTCACTTGGCATTTCCATGACCGAGAAAAGGAAAACAATGTTTGTGTGTTTGTATGATCCCACAGAGCAGAGCTCCCTTGGCGGTTTTTAGAGCTCATGCATAAACATGTGTTCACAGCGCTTACAGGAACTGATATAACAATCAATTGACACACACACACAGGCTCATTGTCCTCATCTATCCACCGCTTGGTCGACAGATTCACAGGCAGAAAATTGTAAATATTGAGCAACCCCTTGTCCCTGAAAAATGAAGTACAATAGCCGGAGGCAATTCATCTCACTATTGCTTTTTTATGAACTAATATGTTCATAGTTGCCGCTTCCAAATTACTCAATAAATATCCAATACTTCCTCAGAGACGGCCTTGACCCGGTTGTCTGAAAGAACGCTTTTCACGAGTGGACGCTTTTCCCCCAACACGCTTAAACACTGAAAGCAGCTTCGGTAAAGTGGCAATTACCATCCTGACATCAATTCAGAAAGCACATAACAAACCTGCCCTGTTTTGAGAAAGCAAACTGGACAATTACAGAGGCAAATAAAGCCAGCCACCAAGAGCGGGAAAATAAAACTCCCGCGGCATAATAATTCAGCTTAATTAAAGGAGCAGCCCATCCAAAGGGTCATTTACAACAACACCCCCGTGTCTCCCACCTCCGGAGGTATTAGCAGAGTTAAAAGCAGCGGGCTACACGATAGAAGTCGTCAGACTGACCTCCAAAGCTTCTTTCCCCCCTCATCTATATTTATATGAAGGAGCGGCACTAATTTTGCCCAGTAAATCAGTGTGCACATTCCGTTGTGACCTCCAGCTTGACACTGAATTAAACAATATCAGGGCTCAAGAAGCCCGCTTTAACAAGCCTTAAATTCCTCCGTCCAATCCATCAGCGGGGATATTTCTGACACACGGAGGGAAGAGCATGAAATAAGGCAATTATTGAACCCTTCAGCCCATTTTTACGGCTTGGCTGGCTGGCACGATGCAGCACAGAGCCTCAGAGCTCCGAGTTTGTGCTGTGAGATGACTCTCAGCGATAGGGATGCTAAGAATTAATACAGTGAAAAGAAATTTCAGTAGTTAGGCAACATCTTTTTTTTGTTTCTAAATATAGCCTGTCAATAAACATGTCACAAAGACGTGTAGCTATGGCAGCAGTTTCCAAGAGGCCCTTCTGGAGTCCTCCTGACTTTGCCCAAGAAAAAAAAAAGCGCTGTAGAGAAAAGCTTCAGTTTGAGTCACACTTGGTGTTCTTCTCCGGTGCAGGCAGGACGAGAAAAGTGCTCTCTGCGTGCGTCTTTCCTGGAGGTGGCAGTCGATCCTGTGAGCCCTCTCAGATTGCCTGACAGATAATCCATCACACAGTCAGTGTGTCTGACAGGAAGAGGTCTCAGTCAACTTTCTGTAGCGCTCACACGGGCCCTATGAAGGACAATCACTCTTTTCAAGTCTCTCCTGGGACGACGTACACTTGAATTTCATTAGAAGACTGCAGGTGGATGATTTGAGGAGTTTAAGTGTACGCGTACACTGATGTGCAGACGAAAAGCAAGAAAGAAGGCAGGGTTGTTCAAAAAGAAAATGGCAAAGAAACAAAAAAAGATTTAAATGATATCATGTAGACTATATTTTTGGATACACATGAGGGCGTTTCTAGTGACTTTAGTTTTACAGTTACCATGGAATCTGTAACAAACAGTTTCTGAGCTCTGTCAAAATCCTGATTTATTGAACTACTGAAGAATGGAAAAATAATAAACGTAACATTTATACGTTCTAAACGTAAAATTCTAAACATTTAAGAAAGAAGACCTGAAAATATATGGTAGAAATCTTAAGAAACTAAATATCTTTAGACAACTGACACTTCAACACAAAGATGAGCTTTGGCCTCTGGATCGCTTAACCCCTTAATCCCTTCTGTGTCATATTTGATACATGAGTTTTTGAGATATCTACATCTGTGTCATCCTCCTGAAAAGAAAAAGGGAGATCTATTACAAGAATGAAAAAAAAAACTGCTTATATTAAAACTTTTCACTATAAATTACATCCAAGTCTCTTTTCCCCTTGTTGGGAAAGTATTTTTTTTTCCCATTGAAGAAGCAGCTTGATTTACTTGGAAAAACATTTGCAAAATATGTGCTCATGCAGTCAATAGTGTTAAGAAAACTGCAAACTGCTGAGGATCTGCTCTCCTCACTGACATCACATTTATTCTGGGAGTGTGCTTCCTTCAGAAATACCCGGGAAATTCAGCAGAATTTCTTTTTCCGCCTTACTTTCCACCTTCTGCCAGTTTTTCCTCCATCAGGATACTCCGATATGGGCCGGACAAATTCAACACACTAAAGTGTAGTTTTTAAAACATTTTTTGTTTAATGTCACAAATTGCATTTTCTCATTGTATTTCAGACATCCTGTCAACATCCATTCATGATTATAAAAAAGTACAATTCTTTGTTTTTAATTATTCATTTTCTCGACACCTGTGATGCCTCATTAGCTTTCACTGGACAGGCACAGGATTAGAGCAGATAATGGACGTCTCATAGTAGCACTTTATAAATAAGACATGATGCACAAATTCAGAGTGAGTACGCCATCTACTTCATTTGAAACGCAGACCAGGCTTGGTAACCAACGTGGACGAAGTAAGAAAGTGTTTACAGCTTCCATTCATCTCGGTTTCAGCAAGTACCACTGAATGATATCACAGCTTATGAATGGTGTGCGATAACATGGCAACAACTCAGTGGATGGGATGTGAAGATGGAAAATGTCTTTCCCACTTCATATTTTGCTGAAAAATAAAGACAAGAAAGCTAATGGAATGGACAAAGTGTTGGGTGTCCTTTCAATATGTTAGCCTGAATATGTCAGTGGTTCTTCCTAACTAATGCACATTTTAATGATTAAAGAAACTGCAGCTGATCTGATCTGCAGAGAGGAAACCAGTGTAATGGCAGAATCCTGTAAGTGCTCGTGATCTGGATCTCAGTTGGCATTTAAAGTGAGAAATGCACGCAAAGGCTCAAGGTTTTGGAGGTCTGCATGTGGAAGAAAAGGCTGATGGTGCTGTGCTGAGGCTGGAATGAGACGTCCTGCAGGATTCTCTATTTCTTGATGGCTGCCACCGCTTTCTTGGCGGCATCATCCAGGTCATCTGCTGCCAAGATGGGCAGGCCGCTCTCGGTCAGAATCCTTTTAGCCTCGTGGACGTTGGTCCCTGAAAAGGGGCAAAAAAAAGGGAAGAAAAACAGTGTTACAACAGGCGACAACCAACATTACAAAAATGGCTAAACAAGGGTGAACCTGATCTGCCATCTGCACGGATGTTAAAAACCACACTGTGTGAAAGACGAAGAGTTCCTCTGGAGGAATCAATCCACACAGACAGATGGAGTCATGGGTCAATGGTGGCACATGCAACTGCTGATCCGAACGTCGAAGAGTGTGAACAACGGGCAAAAGGGCAATTTGTGTGCGCGCGTGTGTGTGTGTCAGCTCCCCCGGCTGTAGTGAGGTCAGGGGTAGCAGGTGCTGGGTGATACGGTGATGCCTGTGCCCCCAGTAGGCCCACAACCAACCAGAGAGAGAGAAAGAGGAAGACACTCGGAGATACTCTGTGCAACCCCGAGGCTCTACGCACTGAGCTGGCTGCCTCCCAGCACTGCACACCGCTCGGCCAAATGCAAGCCTGACAAGCCTGTCACAACACAGGGCAGGGGGCGCCTCAGCGGACGGAGGAAGGGGAGTGGATGAGAGCAAGAGAGAGGGAGTGAACGAGGTGGTGGTGCTGGTGGGGCAGCAGAGCAAAAGGTCAAATGAAGCAAAATTGGCCCCTTGCAGCTAAAAACAACAAAAGCCAGCTGTTTATGTGGCATTTACTGATTCGACACATGAAGAACAAAAACTGAATCTGTCTGATGTGCCATCAAAGACTCAGCACGCTGCTGAAACATTTAATTATCTTTTTTTCCCCCCGAACTACTTGCATTTGTTTGTTTTTCTTAATCAGATTTCAGATCTCATTTATTACATTTTGAGTGGACGCACCTCTCTGTGTCCATGCTGAACACTTCAACTGACGATCACTCCTGTCTGATCTTTTCTTACTTCAAATTCAAACAAACAACATTTGAAAAAGTCTCTAAAAAAGGTTCTGGAAAAACACTTTATTGTGACTTTACACGTTACGTTTGCTGTATATGGACAAAGGGTGTGTTGAGATTCTCTGTATATTAGTGTCTCCCTGTATTCGCTCGGGTGTTAAACGAGTCGATGTGCGAGTGTTTGTGCATGCTCAGACGCTCACAGGTTGACCTTCGCTCTCGTGGCTGCCGTGTAATTAAGACTGCATGATATGTGAATTCTCCGGAGGCCGGGCCACCCTGATCAATAGACCTTTCATGAGGAATTCTATTACCACTGCCACTTAACGCCTAATATTTCATCTCTTTTGTCCAGCCGTATAATAAGTCATTCCAAACACATTTCTGCAGGCTCGCACTCCAAACAATCAATTCGGCAATGCAATTAATTAGAATAAGAGCAGGAAGAGCTCTTGCTCTGCTGCATAAACAGGGGATCGGATGTCTCAAGTCGTTTTCACATCAAACAGCGGATATTCTCCGTGCGACTGTGTGCGTCTCGATTCGGACACGCAGCGAGAAGAGCGGTGCAGTACTGTATGCTTTACATTCAACAGGCTAATCCGCAAACTTCACTGAGATTGATGGATCTATGCTTGTGTACTGACAGGTTTATCTGTCACAAGATTAAAACAAAGCTGCAGCACAACAAAGTTCAAACGGCACAAAATAAAACTGACGAAAGTGGAAGCAGCCATATGGGCCCCCAGCAAATACATAATGCAGCAGGTATTCTGAAAGACAAATATGCCTATGGAAAGTGTATACAGGAACAAAAAGTAAACATGCATTTTTTTCTCCCCAAGCTGATACATATTCATGACCAGCAGGAGTATTTAGTGTATTATTTAGATTGTGCAGCATCTGTGTGTTACTCAGGACATGTGTGGTGGAAGAATCACACGTCGTGTTGGAGTCGTGCATTTGTGGGAGTCTTTTTCTGCACAAGTATGGGTGAGAGCTGACTGCAGTTCCACTGTGAGCAGTAGGGAGCACTGATAGCTCACGCCAGCAGCATCAGCAAGGGCTGAGCTCAGCTGGATACAGAATTACTAAGGCATGTGTGGAGTATATGTGTGTGAGTGTAGGGTATAACTGGAGAATGGGGATATGTGTGTGTTCACCTGCAGCCACTAGGTGCTGCCAGAGACCTACTCACAGTCTGGAGAGGGCATCAACGCACACAGTCAGCATGCACAAATAACCAAAGCAAGATGATTGTTTTAAATCTATATGATTAAATATAAGAAATGAACATTAGAGAAGGCAAAAATATAGATTTCTGCAGAAATTCATCACAACACGTATTCTCCAGACCTCGATCATTAGTCCAACTGACCTGTTAATTACTGAGAAATGTCACAGAACACTAACTTGCTAGTCTGAACTTTTTTCTTTATTAACAATCAACTCCTGAAAATTCAATCAAACTTTAATTCACTTTTCAAAAGTGCTCAATCCAATCAAAAACCGACAAAACCCCCCGAATTTAATTAGGTTCAATTCAACTTTATTTATATAGCACCAAATCATAACCACAGTGGCCTCCAGGCGCTTTATAATGTAATTTAAAGACCTTAGAGTAATACAGAGAAAACCCCAACAGCTAGACAACCCCTTAGAGGAAGAAGGTTGTGACAGTGGGAAGGAAAAACTCCCTTTTAACAGGAAGAAACTTCCAGCAGAACCAGGCTCAGGGAGGGGCAGCCATCTGCCATGACTAGGTTGGGCTAAGGGGAGAAAGACCACACCAATGAGTTCGGAGGAGAGCCTGGGATTAATAATAACTAATGACTAAATACAGAGTAGCTTATGAACACTACTTATGAAAGGAGACGAGTGATCATGGGAATCTCCCAGCAGCCTAGGCCTATTGCAGAGTAACTTAAGGAGGATTCAGGGTCACCTGATCCAGTCCTCCCTATATGTTTGATCAAAAGGGAAAGTTTTAAGCCTAAACTTAACACTAGAGGCTGTCTGTCTCCATAACCCAAACTGGGAGCTGATTCCACAGAAGAGAGGCCTGAAAACTGAAGACTCTGCCTCCCATTCTGCTTGTAAATATCCTAGAAACTGCAAATAAACCCGCAGTCTGAGACTAAAGTGCTCTAATGGGGCAAAGTGTTACTGTGAGGTCTTTAATATAAGATGGGACCTGATTATTCTAGACCTTGTACATGAAGAGAAGGATTTTAAATTAGATTCAGCATTTAACAAAGAAAACAACATAAGAGCATTCAGCAGGTGGCAAGCATCACAACACAATATTTTCACATTTATGTGGCAATTAACTAGCGTACCTGTGACTACTGTGAAAAATGACGCCTTAACGTGTGACTTACAGGCCACTAGGCTTCAGTGGGATAATAAGGGTTGGGGCTGTGCCAAAGACTTGTGCTGGAGGAGCTTTCTTGATGCTGCAAATCCTACATTTGTGAGCAGCTTTGTCCTAACAAGCTGTGCTTAGCGTTGCTGTCATCTGAGAGAAGGACACGTTGCCGTAGAGTCACACATACAAAGGAAGTCTGAAGTTGTAAAGGTTCCTTATGTGTCAAGGACACGATAAAGACTGTTTCCTTAGCAGGAAAAGATAAGGGAAACAAAAAGATGTAGAGCTTGATAAATGAACTCTTTCGCCTGCTGTTGGTAAAATCTTTGCCACAACAAAAAATGGAAACCCCTTCACCTTCTCTCACAGTCAAGCCAACCGGTTAATTAATCATGTGGTGACTGAGTGATTGTCAGTGTAAGGCTGTGTGTGTCTGGATATTTCTTTTCCCTTTTAAATATTACAATTGTCATTAATACGTGGCAATTAGACGGGCAGCTTCTGCAAGACTGTCCACTGACAGTTTTTTTCAGGTTTCCTGAGTTGGTGGCTTGTCTGCACTGCTGGTGAGTTATGGTTTGCTTCACACTAGAAAGTGATTAGTTCCCCACGTAATAATCTCCTGGCTGTCAATGAGAGCTTTTGATGTGTCACACTAACATAATTCCCACCATCTGTCAGCTGTCTGAAGATACTGGGGTACGCTGTGAAAGAAGTTCTTAGAGGACTTATTTATTTAAATTAGACACAAGCTCAGTACAAATAAAGCAAATAATTATGTATGTAAACTGTATGTATGTCATTGCAGTTGTCAGGAAATCTCATGGCAAACCAAAAGTTAACATTTTAGTCTGTTTTTGTTTCGTGCCACTGTCCTAACATACATTATAATCTGTATCATTAACTTTTTGTGTTGGGAATCTGCATAAATGTCACAATGCTACAGTCCAGTAACTCACATAGTAAAAGCAGTTTAAAACAAAGAAGGGCGCTCTGCCTCAAGACCAGCCAGATGAACCACAGGCAGCTGATGTATACACCCTCCCCCCAAAAGAAAACTATTTAACTGACTGCATGTTGTCATACTCACTCAACTCTTAACCCAGCCCCAACCAGACAGTCTACATCAGGGGTCGGCAACCCTGGGCACGCGTGCCACGGTTGGGACGCGAAGGGTTAACTGATAGCACGACCATAGCTGGACTGGCCATTGGGCATACCGGGCATTTGCTCGGGACCCGATGATTTTTTATTTTTTGTAACGGTATAAACAATGAAAGGTGTTGGATTGGCCAGATGTGGCCGGTGTGTAAAAATAACTCAGTTGTTTGGTGGTGGCTATGGCGTAGCTTCCACAGATTCAGTAACATTAGCAAGTGGTGGAGGCCAACAGGTGGATGAGAGAAAGGGGAGGCAGGAGGAGGAGGGACCCGAGGCGGCCGCCGGTCCGAGTGTCAGGTGAACTGAACTTCAGGTATGAAGTTATGACCTGCAGTCTGTCTGGGTCAGATATAAACCAAGTTTAGGTGGAGTTTATTTTCGTTGTGCTGACTTTTTACAGTCAGTTACAATAACTCGTACTGCGTGAGCTAGCATGACGGAGTTTATATACAGCTGGGTGGGTGCTATGATGTTACTGAACTAAAGTGAACTTTATTTTATTCATAAGGTTAGTTAGTAGAGTTGCCAACGGCTCCTTAAAAAATGGAATGGTCCCTCATTCAGAGAAAATATTACATGTTTCGTATTGAGCTGAGAGGGGACGCAGTTTGTCCCGTACTTCAGCTAGAATGAAAAAAAAGACACAAAGCTGGATTTATTCTGTGTCTTTGCTGCACAGCTGCCTCTTCTCCTCTCATTCTCTCCCCCTCCCTCTCCTGTTTCTACTTCAATCATGAAACTGATCAATGATCAGCTGATCGGCTTTCCTCTCTTGTTTGTTTATCTTCCACTTTGCGCCAGAAAGAAGAAACCAGCGGATTTCGCGCTAAACAACAGCAGCATGTTTAAGCTTGATCAGCTGTTGTTAGAATTTATTTAATATTAATTTCTAGTATCAGCTGATGTTTGCTGGAGCCACAGCTGTAAAGCTGCTGGTCATGATGTCGGTTTGTATATCTGGTGAGAGGGAAACATGCAGATGAAACCAGATGTCCTTACTGAATCATCAGAGCTGAACAGGTGATGGAGAAACAGGTTTACCTTTTAGGTGACATGAATGAGTTGAAGGGAAGTTATGAACTGTTTCTGAGAGACAAATAACACCAGGATCCTTTTCTAAGTAGCTGACAGCTGGTAACTGTGCAGGGGCGGATCTAGCAAAGTTTTGCCAGGGGCCCAGGTAGGGCATTAAGAGGGAAAGGGGGGCACAAGGAAATACTTTACTTTCTTATTCTCATTTAAAATGTCTCACTTTTATTAAATAATTATCTGAAGCTTACAACCACAGTTTTTATCTGATGTAAAATTTACAGAAATCATGCATATACCAACAAGACTGTACATCACTGTCACAACAGCGTTTGTTTTCATTCAAAGGCTTTATGGCTTTAATACCTGGTGGGCCGGTCTGTAGTCAAAATGCCCGGGCTGATTTTTTGTCCCAGTCCAGCCGTGGACACGACACGCAGTGAATTAATCTGAGAAGATGCATCAAAAAATAAATGGCTGCACCAGTGGTGCTCTCAGGTGTTTAGACCAATGTTTTCTTTTCTGATCAAACCAGAAATCTTTAATGAGCAGCTGGATTTGTCTCACATTAACTGGCTGAGTTGATGCCAGTTAATGCGACATCGACGTAGCTGGAATCCACAGCTGTGCGTGTTCATGGAGCTTGCATTTTCACCTGCTGGACATCACTACCTGAGAAGTTTAACTGTCTTCAGAACATTGCAGAGGCCTTATTGACAGTATTTGGCTGTACATATCTGTGTGCGCAGATTTCCTCTCACATTAGTCCTCAGGTAGCCGTCTGAATGCTGGACACTCGAAGACCTGTGTCTCTGAGTGGGAGACCAGAGATCACATTAACATGTGTGTCTCTGTATTAACAGACATGCCACATTGGCTTAGTTTATTTTTCTTATCATTGTTGTGAGGAGACCATAAATAGCATTTGTATTTTCTGTTGTACAGTTCATGTGCTGTTATGGATAAAAAGTGTCTTTTTCTTTTTTTTTGTTTCAAAATATCTGATAACTATTCACTGATAGCTGCCAAAATCTGTAAACACATATAATTCTATAAAGTGGGTCTATATATTGTGTAACTGTTCATATAGAGCGTTATTAAATTTATTGCTAATGCAATCATATGGCACACTGACTTCTGAGGAAATTTTAAATGGCACTCGCCATTAGAAAGGTTGCCGACCCCTGGTCTACATGATTAAAACAAACATAACACATTACATTTTTTATTCAGTTTTTTGTATTATCTGTTATTTAAGAGCAGCTTACTGCACCACCAGATTTCATGTTTTCATCAGTGCTAACTCTAACAGAGTATCTTAGTATCTTAACACTGTGTTCCCTATTTGCATACTTGTATAATGTGCATGACATTCATTCTCATGATTTAATCAATTCTTGTCAGATTCTTTGTGAGAGGCAAATAGCGAGATTTACACTATGTGAGGGTAAGTTAATAGCTATTTTTAAAAAGCACTACAAAAATGAAAAAATGTGTAATATATGTGAAATCAAAGACAGAACCCCCCCCAAATCAACCAGTGTGTGAATGTATATTACTCTATATTTATGTATGTGGATATGCATATAGCTGCAGCAATTAGTTAAGCTATAATGATGCTGTCAGGACTGATGTTGAAATCTCATCCATTGAAACAGGGCCTTCAAATCTTGCTCAAGCAGAACATTCTCCACTCTTTGACAGAGAGTTGGGGGACACCTCAGAACAGAGTTAAATGAATGTAGTCACCTTTTTCTTGGATGCCAAAGGTTTTTTAAGAGGCAGACAAACCTGCAGAGAAACACAGGATGACCATGCGCACACTGTAGCCAAAGAGGGCAGTACAGCACCTCCTTAGGTATCGCTTCCTTTCTATACCTTCAATAACGACAGTGTGTCTGCGTGTTCTCTGCTCAGTTTTCACCAGATGAGTCTAAGTGCTAGCGATGATAATTACAGACTGTTTTAGATCAACTCAATCAGCCCACATCAAACACTTCATGCATACTCTATCAACTAACACAACTCTATCAAGAACTAGACCACATGGCCTCTCTTCCCCACATATGGGAGCACATAATTCTCTGCCAGTGCAATCAACCCTGGCTCTTTAGGGCCTTTCCAATTAAAAGTGTGCCTGTTAATCCATTCTGATCCTGTTGAAGAACGTTGGGCCGTTTTCAATGCCCGGCAGACAGCCTAGCAAGCTGAGCTGATTGATTCAGAGCCAATCCTCTCCACAAGACTGCAGCCCAGGATGTAATGACCCACAACTAAGGCTTGGATTAGGCCTCGGTCAGGGTGACGTGTTTGGACCATCCGGCATCCAACAGAAGTGACTTTCTGGACTGTCTGAGAGTCATATTGAATTATGGCTACTATCAGAAATGTGTGGTGGATAATTAAGGATCCGTGCAGATTGCCAGTCTAGTTTGTTCTGTAGTTGTGTATTCTAAAGAGACAAATGTGCATCTTGAACTTGGGGTGTTTGAACTCCAGTCAACAATATTATTTTTGGTTCAGACGCAAAGTTTTTACAGCCATGGGGTAGATGTACATACCTGCATGACATTTTTATTCGACTTTAGGGGAAAGTAGTGGAAATGACAGTTAAGAGTAAAATTCTCACACTACATCGTGCTCTGAACAACCATGCCCTCACTACTGCACAGCACCTCGACACACAGTTGGCTTCTAGAAACAGCTTACACGCCCTGACCTACAAATAGCAGATGTGTGCAGACATACAGCATGAAATGCTAAGCGCTAACACACACACACTCTCCCCTGCTCTGTGCTCTGGACACACCACTCGGCAGGATCTTGACAATTAAGCTAACCACCAACTGGCCCTATGCCTCTGAGTCACCACTGCCATTCCCCACACACACACACTCGGGCAAACACACACAGCTGAGCAGGTTTTATTAGCATATAGAGGTGAAAGGTGAGCCAATCAGTGCCGTCTCTACAGTTATTCTGGCTGCTGCTAATGACAGGTGCAGCAGAATGTGACATCTATGAGAAATGCACTGCTGTTCTTTCTGGGACACTGGGCCACAATGAAGATGGATATGCTCCTGAGAGTACAGCAGCAATAATACAATGGCTCCAAAGTTTAAAACTAGGTGGGGAATGAGTTTCTTTGTACCTTTGAAATTGAAAATATTCATAAAACGATACTGCAAGCTATATTCTCAGTCCATATAAACTCGAACCAGCTGTACCCTGAGCAAAGGAGACTTTAGGTACAGTTCAAGAAAAATAAAACTTACTGACACATATATGTAAAAGCAAGACAAAAGGAACTTGTGTTTACATGATGATGATGTTACTCATGCGCCAGGTCAAGGTGAACAACTGTGATGAGCGACACAGCTGTGAACCTAGTTGCATGTTATAGCGTATTAACCCCCAATCATTAAATGCTCATTAATGTGAAATTCTTTCGCTGGAGGCTAGATGTGCCTAAGAGAAATGATGCAGTCTGTTTGGTTTAACTGGAAGTGCCAACTGCCGATGACTTACTAACAGCGTCAGAGAGGCAAAACAAAAACTTTTGTGCATGTGTTCCAGTGTTGGTGAGTGTCAAGTGCTGTTTTACCTTCCAGCCTGACCACCAGCGGCACTTTGAGCTCCAGCTCTCGGCAAGCTTTGGTGATGCCGTTGGCAATGATGGCACAATTAACAATGCCCCCAAAAATGTTGACCAGGATGGCTTCAACCTGTGAAAGAAGACAATAGACAAAAAAAGAATTAACCCAACAATAAACAGCAAGTGAAATGAAATAAGATAAAGGCAAGTTTCAGCTGTACCATCTTTGTGCAATAGCAAGAAACATCATTTAAACAAACAGCAGAGCATGTCTTGTTGGGAATCCTAGCGGCTTCATTCAGACATGTACTAAATAAGACATTCAATTATATCATTAAATGATAATGTCTTACTTATAAAGACAAAATAGAAATAATCTGGTCCTTAGCTGGTCTTAAAATGAGGTAACTGCAACCTCAGATAACAAAACATGACAAATTACTGCGTGTCAGTATTTCTTTATCAAAAACTGAGCTAAAATGCAAAAGCAGTACATGAAAAACCAAGAATTCCCTTATTGCTTCTATAGGAATAAAGAGAGTAAGTAGCTGCCAGGTCCTGCTAATTAAATGCACTTGATTAACTGATAATTAGTGAGTGTGAGTGCCTCTGAACAAGCAGAAGCTTTGGCAGTTTGCTGGTCCAGAGCAGCAAAGGTGTGTACAATGCTGAGGACAAAGAGATGTCAGCTGTGATCTTACAGACCACTGTTGCTGTTAGGGCTGGGCCATATTATACCGTTCACGGTAATACCGGTATAATGTTAGGCAACGATAGGAAAATGAAATATAGAATATAGATAGAATATGAGTAAAACGCGCATGCGCAGTGCCTTTGTTTTCATACGCACATGGCCAATTGTTGAGTGAAACAGATGAACCAGAATTGGTTTGTAAAAATGGTGCAACTTCAGTGATGTGGAACTGGTTTGGTGTTTGTCCGTCAGATACACGACAAAGCACGGTTTTTTGCAGAACATGCAAGCGGCCGTCGTTATTGTATTTGTCGGACTAAGATGCTCTTAAATCTGGGAGTAATCTGGGTCCTAAACTCCGTCTTTTTCAGGTCAAACACTGCAGCATCACTGAGAGTTAAAAAATCTCTAAATTCTTTCATCTTTAATAAAACGATCAGCGTTGCTGCTTTACCAGCTGTATCTATGAAGTTTAACTTCCAGGCATCCATAAAAACAAAATGTATTACATTTAATGGAGTTAGAAGTTAGCAGGAGGCTAGCAGAAGTTAGCTCGCTAGTTTCGCTAGTTACCTAAGCATGATATTGCATGTTCTGACTGAGAGATTTCTGAAAAAATTCAAACGTACAGCTCTGCTATCACTTCCAACATGAATGAAGACAGGAAACTAAACAGCAGTGACGTTTGTAGGGTTAGGCTAGCTGGTATATAATGATGTGCTATGTGATCGCTAGCGACACAGCTACGTTAGCATAACATAAACAGTGAAGTTGGAGGAGGAACACTACCACTTTTCCACTTATAAAAATTAATGTTAAGGTTCCTGATAGTTAGAGACAAATGCAATCGCATGGCAGGATGCTGTAAACGGACCAAACTTCAGTCAGGAGAACAACTAAGATAATCCATCCACAATACGAGGTTAGTCATTAATATACTGCAACAACATGGGAATAGAGCAGCTGCCAGAGAAATCAACATTTATGAATCAAAGGTACAGAAGTGGAGGAAGCAAGAAGAATGAGTTTAATAAAGTTTGATTTATCTGACTGCTTTGTTTCGCTTAATGTGCCTTATAATCCTGTGCACCTTATGGTCCGAAAAATACGTACTGCACACTGCAGTTTAATGTTGCAAAGCACCTCTTTTTAACTTCAGTGGATATTATACATGGTTATGCTCAGGATATGTCAGCCCATTTCTACTGGAAATGCCTTTTGGTTAAACTTTCAGCAAGGAATTTGCATTTGCACTGTTACATTTTTACAAAGCTTTAATGTACATAAAAACCAGCTTCCTGTTTAAGTGAAAATAAATGGAAGGTTGTCTTTTTGCGCTAGTAATGTTGTGGAGTTGTATTTTGTCTCGCATCAATTATATCGTCAGTTATATCATTATCGCAAATTTTCAAATATATATCGTGATAAATATTTTTGGCCATATCGCCCTGCTCTAGTTGCTGTCCATCAATGGGTTATCAAGGGTTATACAGCCATTTGCGAAAAATTTTTAGTCCATCATTCCACACTGAGAAAGATTATTCACAAGTGGAAAACGATCAAGACAGCAGCCAATCTTTCCAGGAGTGGATGTCCCAGCAAATTCACTGCAAGATCAGGCTGTGCAGCGATCAGAGAAAGTGCAACAAAACCTAAGACCGACATCTCAGACTCTACGAGCTGTTAAATGTTAAAGTTCACGACAGTACAATTAGAAAAAGCCTCTTCTCACAAAGCACAAATTTTGGAACAATGAACCTCATTGAAACAATGTGTATGCACAAGTTTATGCACGAACTATGCATACAGACATTTCAATGACAAAGGTCTGGCTGTCTTTGAAACTAAACAAGTTTTTTTCAAAGCTGAATAAAAATACTGTTAGTGCTGAAATTACTACTTTTACTAATACTAAGCCTGTTGGTTTAACATGACTGTGTTTCACTAACAGATGCACGGTGTAAAGAACACATAAGCTGGTGTGCACATTTCATGAATCTGAAAATAATTTTGCATATGGACTTTTTTGTGCAAGGTAAGAATGTCCATGCAAACACTATTGAAAGAGACTCTAATGTCCTTTGGATTGTTTGGTGAAACCCAAACATAGCGTATAAGCACAAACACCTCATACCAACTCATAACTGTAAATGAGAGTAGGAACACAGATTCTGCACAAAGACGTAAACACAAAGCTCGGACCCGCCGACGCATCAGAATCAGTGAGATGTCGCCTTTCTCACCCGACGGCACAGACACGGTCGGGGCTGAAAGCTGACAGCTCGCTGATTCAGATGTTTCGGTGGGTCCGCGCTTTGTGTTTACGCCCTTTTTGCGCTGATTCTAAAGATGTTAGTTTGATCTCTCCAAACATTATTGACCAAACCAGCAGCAAAAGAAGATCCAAACTACGCTTCACAAAAACATCATCATGAATTCACTCTGACTTTTGCTGTTTTGCTTCCACCACACTTCATGCACAGCTCTCTCTCTCTCTCTCGCTTTCTCTGTATACTTCAAGAACAGTTTCCCATCTAAAAATCTGTCTTCTGCATTATTCGCTTGCTTGTTACGCACAAGTCTACCGTTCTTACAGCGCTGTCGGCCGACGTTTTTTTCCCTTTTACTTACGACCGAAAAGAAAGACTAATTTCTGCCGTTCAATACTGAACAAATGTAAACTTTTAAAAATTATGCAAAATGCAAAACGCTTAGCTGTGTCTCTAATAAAACCGCTGTAACTTCAGAGGTAATGTTCATATGTTGATTAATGGTTTTCTTTCGTTTTTGATGTACTGCAGAATATTTTTATAAAATCCCAGGCCAGGAAAATCACCTTCATGTTTTTGTGTTTTATCTTCAGCTACTTTGACACAAAGGCATCTGCTGTGATGCTTACACCTTTGATAAAGTCTTGCGAGTGTCAGCTTCCTTTTTATAGATACAAAAATATGTAAATGTACTGATCTGAATTATAATATTTCTCACTGTCTGAGGCAAAATTTCCCAATTTCAAATCGAATCGAATTGAATAGAATCGTGGATCGAATCGATTCGGAACCTTGTGAATTGGAATCGAATCGATTCTAGAAATCAGTGACGATACCCAGCCCTAGTCATAACAACGGTGATGGTTTGGGTTTGATTCACAGCCACAGGGCCTGGGAACCTTGCAGCCTTCGAGTCGACCATGAACTCCTCTGTATACCAAAGTACTCGAGAGTCAAACATGAGACAGTCTGTCTGACAACCATCATTGATCCCAACCACAGCAACAAATCTACAACTGAATAACTAAAACAGGAAAGAATTAAGGAGGTGCGCTGACTCAAAGTTCAGACCTCAATCTGACTGAAAAACTGCAGTGGGACCTTAAGAGAGCTGTGCATAAGCAAACACTCTGAACTGAAGTAATGTTGCAAAGAAGAGGGGATGAAATTCCTCAACAATGATGTGACAAACTGGTAAAGTCTTGCTTTTTGATTAAAAAAAATGTCCTACGTGGAGTTAGAGCAGGGCGATATGGCCAAAAATATTTATCACGATATATATTTGAAAATTTGCGATAACGATATAACTGACGATATAATTGATGCGAGACAAAATACAACTCCACAACATTACTAGCGCAAAAAGACAACCTTCCATTTATTTTCACTTAAACAAGAAGCTGGTTTTTATGTACATTAAAGCTTTATAAAAATGTAACAGTGCAAATGCAAATTCCTTGCTGAAAGTTTAACCAAAAGGCATTTCCAGTAGAAATGGGCTGACATATCCTGAGCATAACCATGTATAATATCCACTGAAGTTAAAAAGAGGTGCTTTGCAACATTAAACTGCAGTGTGCAGTACGTATTTTTCGGACCATAAGGTGCACAGGATTATAAGGCACATTAAGCGAAACAAAGCAGTCAGATAAATCAAACTTTATTAAACTCATTCTTCTTGCTTCCTCCACTTCTGTACCATTGATTCATTAATGTTGAATTCTCTGGCAGCTGCTCTATTCCCATGTTGTTGCAGTATATTAATGACTAACCTCGTATTGTGGATGGATTATCTCAGTTGTTCTTAGGGTTTCCAACCGTCCCTTAAAAAACGGAATCGTCCCGTATTTAGAAACAAAAGTACACGTCCCGTATTGAGCTAATAAGGGACGCACTTTGTCCCGTAATACAGTGAGAATCAAAAGTAGTCTATAACTTTTAATGGAATTAACGCTTTGTTTGAAAACATAATTCCCAGCCCCTCTCCTGCTTTGTGACCAATGAGCTGACAGCACACTTATGACAATTCGAGTATGACAAGTCAGATTACCGCTCATCTCATTGGTTGAGGAAAGGTCGCTTACGGAGAAAATACCGGAAGACAACCGATGACCACAACAAGAAGCATGGCCAACAGGGAAACAAACGCCGACACTGCGGTGCAAG